TGTTAACATAATACTGTATAAGAAATACTGATGATCTGATGGTCATTTTGAAAAATCCTTTCTTAGCGAACACCTAAAAGCCAAGAGGAACATATGTCCTGAATTTCAAGTTTGTAGGCTTTACAGTTCTGGAGATTTCGTGATGAGTGAGTGGTATTTGATGAGGTTTTGGAGTGTTTCTAAGAATTAAGATAAATGTCACAGTTCACTCCATTTCTGATTTTTGCTAACCATGAAGGTGAGACTGGCCCTTTGGGATGTTGCTGATGAATACATTTAAACACAGCAAATAATGGAGGTCTGGAACTGAAGTAGCTCATAGTATTCTGTACCTCACCTCTGTTTTTCCTGATATAACGTACTGATGGACTAACACCTCTCAGACCATTATTCATTCCAGCTGATGAATACAGTATAGAAGACTAAGAAAGAATATTTGAACCTCTTTTGTAAGCAAGGTTCCTTTTCCATGGTTGTCATTTTTTCTTGCTATAAAACTTACTTTTATATTTAAAAGAACTCATCTGCATTTGATGCTTTCCTTCTTTGTCTTTTAGGTATTAAACCTGTTTCTAGCCTTGCTCCTGAGCTCCTTCAGTTCAGACAATCTTGCTGCTACTGATGATGATAATGAGACGAACAATCTCCAGATTGCTGTAGCGAGGATTCAGAAAGGAATAGATTACATTAAGAAAAAATTGGGAGAAATTGTCCAAAAAGGCACAGTTAGAAAGCAGAAAGCTATAGACGATATCAAAGTCCTTGAAGAACTAAACCACAAGAAAGATGTCTGCATTTCCAACCACACCATGGCTGAAATAACTAAGGATGTTAATTATCTGAGAGATGGAAATGGAACGACCAGTGGTTTAGGAACAGGCAGCAGTGTGGAAAAATATATTATTGATGAGAATGATTACCTGTCATTTATAAACAATCCAGGCCTTACTGTAACTGTACCAATCGCAGTGGGAGAGTCAGATTTTGAAAATATAAACACAGAAGAATTTAGCAGTGAATCTGAGCTGGAAGGAAGCAAAGAGGTAGGCCTTCTTATATTTATAATATACATATACTATTAAGCAGAAAAATAGTGACACAAAAATATTTTAAATATGTTATGTTGAATTATTCTTATTTATGACATAGTTTAAAAGGTTAACATAGTTGTCTTTTTAAATAAAAAACTAATCATTTTTTTAAAATAATGATGAATTCATTTTGTTATAAATTGGTATTTGCTGTATTTTTCAGACCATAAAATGCAGCTAGATTTAGAGGAGGAAAACAAGAAAAAGAACAGTTTCTGGCCTCCTTGTGTCCCGTTTTTGCCCTCCCCGGCTCCCAAAAGCACTTTGCAGGTCAAAAACAGGCCCATTTTTGTCCTCCCGAACCCTCCGGGCATCCTGTTTTTGCCAAAAACATGCCCACTTTTTGGCCTGCAGAGTGCTTCTAGGGGCCGGGGAGGGTGAAAACACAAAATGCAGAAGGTTCAGGACTCGGAGGCCAAAAACAGACCCATATTCGGTCTATAAGAAATTATAGAAATTTTCACCCACTTTTGGGTGGGGAGTGTGTCTTATACTCTGAAAAATACGGTAACTTATACCGTACCGCTAGTGTTTGGTTTGTTCTGTGTAATATGGAACCAGATTGGTGTAGTGTTTATAGGCCAGGAACTAGTGCATTCTAGTCTCTTCTTGAATACAAGCCTTTTGAGCGTCTGAGCCCGTGGTTTTCTCTCAGACCTAGGAAGACAGCAATGACAAACCATTTCTAAAAAGGTTAGTATGAAAGCTGCATGGGCTTGTCTAGGCAGTCTTAAGGAGTCAGAACAAACCATTAGACAAAGAAGAAGAGATTATAGAGTCAGTGGAGTGTATCTCCATTAATCCACAACTGTAACTTAGATCAAAGCAACCATGATAGATTGCTGGCTACTCTGAGCACAGTTCTGGAAGGAGAACTATTGAACTATTCACAAACACAAACACACACACACAATAGCCTATTGCATTTTTTACAATTCAAACACAACAAGATCTCCCTTATTTTATTTAGCAATAGAGATGAGCTACAACTATGGCCTAAGAGATTAACTATTAGATTCTTTTTTAATTAGTCTTCATTTTATCTTTGTGTTCATTCATAGGACATCTTTCTATAGTAAATTCCATTTGGCTGCTATGATTTTTAGGTGTTTAGCAATGAAGCCAGAGCTGATCTTTCCTTTCTTTGATGATCCAGGATTTGTATATCAATTTTAAAGACTGCATTCCCCTTCATTTTAGGCTTTCCAATACCCTTCTGCTTGTCTCCTTAAGTAGGGATTACATTATAGTAAGTATAATAGGATGTTATTCTGGAGAACCCTCAGCCATGCTAGAAAAGAAGTTCTGTATTTTTTGGGAGGGGTGGGGAAGTAAAAGCACTTTAGTCATTTTCATTCATTCTTAGTATTTTTAGTTTTAGTTAAAATTGTATTATCAAAGATTCAAGATATGAAGAATTCAGATTTTTTTACCATTTGTTTTCTTGTGTATGGAATATTTTACCCTCCTGCAAAAATGGTTGAGAAAAAAATTCAAGCACACATATGTTAGCTGTTTGGGATTTGAGAAAACTGTTGACTTACTTTCATCATTTACTGAAAAAGGTTCCATAGGATCTACCATGCATGTTTCAAAAATAGTTTGGAAGAAATGCTTCAGATCTAAATACCTCAAAATTTCAGGTTTCACTTTCCAGCCAATGCAATCCAGAAAGAACAGTAAATAACAGTATGTTTGGATCAGACTTGTATTTGAATATTTCTGGAATTTTGCGGTGATGGTGGTGGAGGTTAATTTTCTACATTTTTCTAACCACAGTAAGAATTATTGTGATTTTTCCTAAATCATATGAACTATTTTAGAGAGTAAAGTAGAAGCCAGAAGAACAGGGCAGAATTGAGTGAATATCTCTGCAGAACAATGCAGTCAGTAGCATGAGTGTGATGAACACGCAAGAAATAAGGAGTACACAGTAGAAATAAAACAACAATAAAGTATAAACATTTATGTATTAACAATTTATTTCTTGGAACGTGAGAGGTAATAAGCCAAATTCCAAGCATGTTTTCTTAGAAGTTACTACAGGTAGTCTTCGATTTACAAGACTAGTTTTAGTTCACTGTGATTTAGTTCATTGTGACCGTTCAAAATTGCAAAGGCACTGAAAAAAGTGACTTGTGACCGTTTTTCACAGTTATGACCTTTGCAGTATCCCCATGATCATGTGACCAAAATTCAGACATTTGGCAACTAGTTCATATTTATGACAGTTGCTGTGTCCCAAGGTCACATGATTGATCCCCTTTTGCAACCTACTGACAAGCAAAGTCAACAGGGAAGCAAGACTCACTTAACAACCAGATTAGTAACTTATCAACCGCAGCGATTCGCTTAACAATCATGGCAAGAAAGGTGGTAAAATGGGAAAAAAACTCACTTAACAAATGTCTCACTTAACAACAGACATTTGGGACTCAATTGTGTTCGTAAGTTGAGGACTACCTATAATACAATATTTGTTCAATCTTACTTCTAGATAAATATACTAGAATTGTAGCCTTATTTTAGCACATATAGTAAATAACTTAACACTGTGCAAGGCCAGCTTTCCCACTGAATTGGAAGAAAGAAATAATTTATAGATTTCCAAGGAAAGAAAAAAATGTTCAATCCTCTTTTTATTTGTTTATAGTTAAAGAAATACTTTCATCTTGAAGAAAGTCATTTTCTTACATTTCTGTTAAAGTTCCAAACTGGGAATGACCTAATTGTAAGGGATTTTACATATTTCCCTTCTCAAAGGTCCTATATTTCTTCCTCAAAGAAAATACGTTTTTGTTATATTTTTCTTTGGTGCATCTATTAATTTGGTGGTTCTGCTAATTAGGAAGAGTAGTAAAACAAAGACTAGGTGAAGCTTCCTTATAAAAACCAAAGTGAGGGAATGAACTTAATTTTTGAGCAATTTCTTATAAAGTTTAAATTAATTTCAGTGGTAGCCCATTAGAATATCCACTGGTAAAAGAGATGTGAAGGAAGGGAAGAAAAGACATTTCTGAAAATGTATGTGTTTTTTGTGATAATGGAATAATTCCATTCTAGAGACAGATATAGTTAAGTTTTGTTCCAATAATCACTTGCTGTTTAGATTCTACTTTGAAGAATTATTTAGATTAGATTGCAGTAATTTCCCTGTCACACAACCTTTTCCTGGCACCACCATTGTTGATACCATACAGAATGGTAGAACATAGAAGGAGCAAAAGGTCCTCCAGATTCAAGCAGGAGAAGTCAGTCTGGTTTGTTGACTGTGGCCACAATGGGTCCCTCCCAATGAATGATCCCCAGCAGCTCCTGGTTCTGGTGGTGAGCCAAGTTCTTTTTCTTCAGTGTGAATGAGGTCAAGCCAAAGACCACTGTTCTACTTTAGAATGGAGGAGGGAGGGAGTATAAATTGAGGAAACTTTCCTCATTGCTCAAGGATTACTAATGAATTGGGAGCATCATTAGCAGACAAACAAACAAACAAATAAAAACAGTTATGTGGCATAACCCCAGTGATAAAGTATCACTCGTTCCTTATGTTTTATTTTATTCCAATAATATTGATGCCTTCACCAACCCAGTTGTCCACAGAACAATTGGGCTACAGCAAAACCCGACAAGTCTTTTGGAGATGATGGAACTCATAATATAAAATGTCTGTAAGCCACCAGTTTGGAGAAAGCTGATTTAAAATGTCATTAGGGCCACAGGCATTCGAACTCTCTTTTCCCTAGCTTTATGATTACATCTTTAGGTTCTCCTCCTGCTTTTTTTGTTTAACTTTTCTGAAGATGCTTCAAAGCCAGAGCAAAAGATGTGAGGTACTGTGTCATGAACTTCATTGCCTGCCCTTCTTACTTCTCACAGGGGTAAAATCAAGCTGGAGCAATCAAGAATGCAGCTCTGTTGCTTTTTAACCAGGTAGATTCAACCTATCACACCTCCTAACAGGTTATCTAAGCAAGCTATACATAATCAATTTCTGGATATTGACTGGCCTGCATGCTATATTGAGCTGTGTTTCCTTCCCTATTCATCGCAAGATAGTTCAGACATACAGCTACTCTCCGCTGAGTCTCATGACTCATCACAGCATGGTCAGGCAAGATTGGCAACCTTTACATACATTTCGATCCCGCTAACGATTTCTCTAGATTACGTTTTATTATCAACTCTTTTGAACAGCTACTGCATGTCTTAGAGGTGTTGAAAAGTAGATTAAATTGATGAGAATGTTAACTCTTTCAAAGGTCAAGAGGGGGGAAAAACAGAGCATGCAGCATTTTTAAAGCAATGAAAACAACCCCTTTTTGATTCAGCCCTTATAAATGTGTTGTGTAATTATTTATACAATTAACACAGGTGGACTTTGGAGAAACAATTTCAAATTGCTAGTTTAATTGTATTCTGTTTGCTTATTCGCTTTTCTAATTTTAAGGTATTTTCATGCAGCAAGCCTTCCTACTTCTAATATCTTTCTCCCCCAGTATTTGTCTGAGTATTTTGGATTTTCATGTGTGATGTCAACTGGTGCACATTCTATACAGAAAATTAAAAAAAGAATGTTTCACTGTTTTATGAAACTGCTGCTTAGAACAAAGATATGAATTCATGAATTAACCCTAGCATTGATATACATTTCAGTGTTGGTAGAGTGCAATAAGTAGCAAGCTGTAATTTAAACACATACAAAATGTATTTTATAATTTAAAAATTCCAATTATATTTCTTTTCTTTTGCTAAAGAAGCAATACAGGTAGCGCCTGAGTGACATTTACTGTTTTGTGTAAGATATTTTTTATTGCTAAAAAAAGATTACAGTAAATTGTTCAGTTCAGTTTGGCAGTGGCCATTGCTAGGGAAACAGATGTTTCTATCCTACTTGTTTTTCTGAATGTCATGCTTTTAACATTAAAGAAATAAAAGTTATTTTAAGAAGGCAGTAG